TCTTTCGAGATGCCAAGCACCTGCCGAAACTCTCGATTGCTGAAGCTCACAAACTGCTAAACCTAATTGTCATGACACGTGTCACCACCACGGCGACTTGCACAAAGTCCCACATCGGAAATCTACACCAACCTCCCACTTTCACTTTCTTATAAAAAGGGAACAGTACCCTAGTAAGAAGGGTAACTACTTTCTTATCTTTTACTATTGCTCTGCTAAAGTTACCCCTCTTAGCTGACTTAAGCATCGGAGAGCCTTCGGCCGGCACCACACCGGTGTCCGAAGCTTAACGACTGCTTCTCCTATTTTGTCTTCTGCAGGCTCTTTCCTTACCGAAGGTCCTCCTTCTCCACTGCTGAAAACCACATTTTCTCTAAGTTGACCCTCTCCGAAAAAGAGCATCAACAGTTTGGCGCCGTCTGTGGGAAACGACACAAAAGGCTTCTGTCGTTCTCCCCTTCTTCAGTGCCCTTCGGCACCACATCATCATTCAACACAAGCTTTGTGTTGCCTTCCGCGCCCCCGTGCCTAGCCACATCTTGTGTCACTTTCGGCACCCTCGTGCCTAGGCCACATCGCCTTGCGACATGCAAGCTTTATGTCGCCTTCGGCACCCACGTGCCTGGCCACATTGCCTTACGACACGCAAGCTTTGTGTCGCCTCCAACACCATCGTGCCTAGCCACATTGCCTTGCGACACGCAAGCTTTGTATCGCTTTTGGCACCCCCGTGCCTAGCCACATCGTCTTGCGACATGCAATCTTTGTGTCACCTTCGGCACCCCTGTGCCTAGCCACATTGCCTTGCGACACGCAAGCTTTGTGTCGCCTTTGGCACCCCCGTGCCTAGCCACATCGTCTTGCGACATGCAATCTTTGTGTCCCCTTCGGCACCCCTGTGCCTAGCCACATTGCCTTGCAACACGCAAGCTTTGTGTCGCCTCCGGCACCATCGTGCCTAGTTACATCGCCTTGCGACACGCAAGCTTTGTGTCGCCTTTAGCACCCCCATGCCTAGCCACATCGCCTTGCGACACGCAAGTTTTGTGTCGCCTTCAGCACCTTTGTGCCCAGCCACATTGCCTTGCAACACTCAAGCCTTGTGTCGCCTTCAGCACTATCATGCCTAGCTACATCGCTCTGCGCCACGCATGCTTTGTGTTGCCTTCAGCGTCCCCGTGCCTAGCCACATCTTGTGTCACCTTCAGCACCCTCGTGCCTAGGCCCATCGCCTTGCGACATGCAATTCTTATGCCTTCGGCACCCTCGTGCCTAGGCCCATTTCCTTACGACATGCAATTCTTGTGCGTTTGGCACTCTCATGCCCAGCCACACCACCCTGCGACATGCAACGTTGTGCATTTGGCAGTGCACAAAGGTTGAAAAGCCCACAAACTTTTCCGAAGTCAATTGCTCGCACCCAAGGCCCAGCAGCTTCACCACTACCAACACGGAAAAGCCCAGCCCATGCGCACAAGGCTCAACAAAATCACGGCTCCAAGTCATTTTAACCCGAGGTCCAACTCCGACCCGGAGCCACCAACAGTCGACCTCTTGCCGAGCACAATCTTACCGAATTCAAGTACATCAGAACTAAATGGTGCTCTCAGCAACTTGTTCTCACCAAGGCCCAGCCCCCAAGACTCTCTGAATATACCTTCACGGCCCAGCTAAAAGACCTGAGGACCCAGCCAGTGCGCACAAAGTCTCAGAATCTGCCAACACCTACAAAAACCCGTGGCTCAGCCCACTTGCAAAAAAAAATTTGTGTTAGCCCTTGCCGTTCGGAAGCAAAGAAATTCAAAAATTGGCTCACGGAGGGTCAATAGTTTACCTCACCGAATGCTGGAACTTCGGTAAAATACCAACCTAAACACTTGCGAATGCTTAACGATACCGAAATCGATCCTCACCAAGGAATCTTAGGCAAACCCCCAGCCCAAGCTCACCCCAGCTCTTAACCTTGGCCGAACCTTCTTGGACCAAGATTCACTCCCATGCCGAAGCTTTGGAGGCCCAAGTGTATAGCTTCTCTCAAAAATAGCTTATCAAAGGGTTTTACACAGCCTAAACCAAGCGGGTACCTCAAAGGATAGCCTCCAACAAAACCCGCCGAACGGCAGGAGCCAGCTAAAAGCTTCAGAAAGGATAATCACAGCAAACTGGAGCTCTTCCAAGGAGCCAGACTCAAGCACCAGACTCCAGACCTGCTATCTTGCCGAATTAGCTCACCACATCTTCCAAAAGCCCATCTTCCAAGGGCTGAAAACAATACCTTGCTGCCAAAAGATTAGCTCCAAACCCTCAATCTCCTCGTACTTCACTCAAAGACCCAGACTCTAACCGACTACACAAAGAATGTCATATTGCATTGTTTGCATGGCCAAGGAGTGTTGTTCCAATTAATCTAAAGGATGCCCACGTGCATCCCCACTATGAGATAAGATTCCCTCTTCTTGCATTTCGTTATTTCAATATACTTGCATGCACACTATATTTATTACAAGACCCAACTCAAGTTGAGATTTAAGAATAAACAAAGCCTATAAAAGCCATTGGTGGGCCAGCCTCAAGAATTCCAAATCGGCTCCAAGGCTTGACAAAAGCCCAGCTGCAGCTCTCAGGACCTAGACCCTGTCAAAGAATTTGCAAATATCATCAATTCAAACAACTTAGCTGGCCTTGCCGAACGGCAAAGCCCATGAAATTCAAAAAGGAGGCTCACGGAGACACCCATCAACCTACCGAATGGATGTTGCAGAACCAACTCCAATGCTCCCTCCAAGAACCTGTTGAACAGAAATCAAAGCACAAATCAACACAACAGCAAAAAAAAAAAAAAAAAAAAAAAGCATACCTACCGGATTATAATGGGAAAAAGACCACTTTGCCGAACGGTAGGCTCTTTGAAAGTCAGAACAAGGGCAGGCCCAGTGCGCACTTACCCTTGCCGACCGGCAAGGCCTCAATGTATTTCTTCTCCGAAGCTCAGGCCACCCCGCCTCCTTCAAAACACAAACCTGCT